GTCTGACGAAGTGGGTATTCACCCACGAAAGAGTCTGACGAAGTGGGTATTCACCCACGGAAGCTTATGCTCCAATACGTCTGTTAGTCTGTAAGGTGCCACAGGACACTTTGTTGCTGAAGTCAATGAGGTTCTTTCCATTAACTTCAGTGGGCTGTGAATCTGGCCTTAGAGGCCCAGCAGAGTGAGGATAAAAAGTCCCCCGGAAGAACCAAAAATCTTGTCAGGCACCAAGAAATGCATCTTATTGGACTTCCCTGCTGTTGTGGTTACATGTGCCTGCATTAAAACAACCCACTGAAAGGGAACTGAAACCAGGAGGTTAACATTAAGCTGCTGCTTTCCTCCCAGCTGGGCCTCTGTTCATTCCTTCCCCCATCGCTAGGACCAGTTCTAAGCTGCTATTATGGCTTAAGGCCCCTTGGCTAGTTGGGGTCAGCAAGCTCTGTCACGGCGTGTCTAGCCCCTCAGCTGGAGAGGCCTGATGGGAGGAGCTAGGGCTTGACTTCTTTTGCATGTGGCTTCCCTTTCTTGTCTGTGCCTTAATTTTCACAAGCAAAGATCCCAGCAGCAGCAGCACCCTCAGAAATGACCTATTCAGAGGCCTGTCTGGTTGGGGAAGAATGGATGGGGGTTGGAGGCGAGCCCATTTCTCCTTGGGATGTCAATGCGGGGTGTTTTGCGCTCCACTTTTTGCTATTGAGAATATACTAGAGGAGAGGTGGGTCTGTTCAGTGCAACACCTTCCGCTCCCCTACCTCAAAGCTGCCAAAGGGTCTGGGGACAATGGGAGGTGGGTGGGTGGGTGGGTTCTCTGAGGGGGTGGGAGATGGGAGCAGGAGGTCTAAAAGCAAATGGGCTTCTGTAATTACTGGGTTCCCCTCACCCTTTAGTCCCATGCAATATAGTGTGCTTTTTTTTTTTTTTTTTTTTTTTAAATCAGTCATTGCTAAACTGAAACAAAACACCCACTAATTATCAGGCCTTTCTCCACCTGCAGTTCTATTGCGATGCAGGGCTGAAGTTCACATGGGCCTTCCTTCCAACGACCTTCGTTTCACAACCACCCCTCGTCTCTCTCATTACTTATTTTATATTAACTCTTTTGGGCGCACACGTCCCCTCCTCTGTTTCTGTGGGGCTGTCCGATCCCAGTATTTCCAGCTGCCACGTGTCCCCAACCCCCCATCCCATTTTAATTTATTTGTGGGGAGTCTCCTGATGTCCCTCCCTTGGGTCAAGGGAGATGGCTGAAGTTTGGAGTGGCCTGGAGCGGTGCCCTTGACCCTGAGATGTTCTAGCTTTGGGGACGGGTGGTTTTTTATTTTGTTTTATTTTAAAGCGGATGCTGCATATGCTGTGTGTAGGATCTGGATATTCTTGAAGCTTCCTGTGCTTAGTGGTTTCAAGTAGAACCCTTTTGTCACTAGCCGCCTTTGGAGAAACAAAGAAATCTGGTAGACACTAGAACCGCATCACAGCCAGCTGCCATATATCTGTTTTTAGCACCATACAAAAACCTCTCTGCAAAGCTTGCTGCTCTCCTTCAAGACGGGCAAGTGCCAGAACGTGACAATGACTGGCTGGCTAATAAGAAACAAATACTCAATAAAACTCAGTGCTGGAGGTCTAGGCTAATGGTAGCCCAGAACCCTAGCACCCAGGCCAGTCCCACCAGTAGGCCCTCAATGCTGCCCTCTCCCTTTCCTGCTCTCTCTCTCTCCTTCCCTTTTTTACCATGTAACATACCCATGGAATTTGTTTATTATTTTTCCATATAGAGTAGTTCTTTGTATATAAATGACTGGAAAAAAAATGTATGATAAATAAGACAGAGTCACCTAGTTTTGTACTTATCGTGTATAACTGATGTGAGCTCAGCAACAAGCCGCTCTCTATTTTGGTCTTTGTGATGTTATACTCTGCAGAAACAAGCAAATGCAATGACAAATAAAAATATATAGATAATATAGATTGTACTTAAACTGCCTCTGCCTCATGGTGTGTGGGGTCCCCCCCATCCCCCCTTCATTCCCTGTCCTGATCTTGTGACCTCTTTTTGCCCCTCGCAGGGGCCCGAGCCCCTCAGGCCATGTCTACGCTACTGCTTTTGTTGGTATAACTTGTCACTCTGGGGTTGTGGGAAAAAACACACCCCAGGCGACATAAGTTACACTGATAGACGCACCAGTGTGGACAGCGCTATGGCGACAGGAGAACTGCTCCCACTGACATAGCTACCGCCACTCGTGGAAGTAATTTTATTATGTCAACGGGAGAGCTCTCTCCCGCCGGCATAGAGTGGCTACACAAGCGATCTTGCATCAGTACAGCTGTAAGTTCTCTGATGTAGACATGGCCTCAGTTAGTAGTTCCTATTCTGTCAGTCTCCTTTGCAAGACAAAAGCTCTTCACTACTGTTTGCATCCATCCATCTCCGCTTCCTCCTGGCAGCACTCAGATGTGATGGGGATGTGTGTGTCTAAACACAAGTGCTGAAGAGTAGCGGTACCTCAGCAAGCTGAGCACAGGGCTGGATGGCAGAAGACCTGCTTTCTATTCCTGGCTCTGCCACTGAGACTGGTGGTTCCTTGGGCAAATTGTTTGGAACAAAAATGGACCCTAATTTTGGGTGCCCAATGTGAGACAGGTGGAATCTGATTTTCAGAGATCCTGAGCACCCACAAGTCCTATTTAAGGCATTGGGGGCTGCAGGAGGTCAGCCCTTCTGAGAATCATGCTGCCAGGGCCTGGCACCCAAAATTAGTGGACATGTCAGTATGGATTTGTTAAGAACAAATCATGTCAAACCAACCTAATAGCTTTCTTTGACAGGGTAATGAGCCTTTTGGATAGTGGGGAAGTGGTAGATGTGGTATATCTTGACTTTAGTAAGGCTTTTGGTACTGTCTCGTATGACCTTCTCATAAACAAACTAGGGGAAATACAACCTAGATAGAGCTGCTATAAGGTGGGTGCATAACTGATTGAACAACCATTCCCAGGGAGTAGTTATCAGTGGTTCACAGTCAAGCTGGAAGGGCATATCAAGTGGGGTCCCGCAGGGATCGGTCCTGGGTCTGGTTCTCTTCAATGTCTTCATCAATGATTTAGATAGTGGCATAGAGAGTACACTTAAAAAGTTTGCAGACAATACCAAGCTGGGAGGGGTTGCAAGTGTTTTAGAGGATAGGATTAAAATTCAAAATGACCTGGACAAACTGGAGAAATGATCTGAAGTAAATAGGTTGAAATTCAATAAGGACAAATGCAACGTACTCCATTTAGGAAGGAGCAATCAATTGCACACATACAAAATGGGAAATGACTGCCTAGGAAGAAGTACTGTGGAAAGGGATCTGGGGGCCATAGTGGATCACAAGCTAAATATGAGTGAACAGTGTAACACTATTGCAAAAAAAAGTAAACGTGGGATGTTTAGCAGGAGTGTTGTAAGCAAGACACAAGAAATAAT